AGATTTGTTAGTCTCCGTAATTACGTGAGCTGATTCCTTACCCCCCACCCCCAACACACACACACACACACCCCATATTGGTTCTGTTTCTATTTCTCTGGAGAACCCTGACAAAACACGACTTTGTATCTTGCAACCTTACTGAATTCATTTACTTGTTACAGTAGCTTTTTGTGGATTCCTTAGGATATATGATTGTGTCATTTGTGAATAAAGACAAATTTATTTTTTCATTTCTAGTTTGTATTCCTTTTATTTTTTTTTTCTTGTCTTATTGCATTGGCTAGAATTTCTAGCACATGTTGAATAGAAATGGTGACAGTGGACATTTTTGTCTTTTCCTAATTTAGGAGGAAAGCATTTAGTCTGTCACTGTTGGGTATTATGTTAGCTCAGGTCTTCGTAGGTGCCCTTTATCAGGTTGAGGAAGCTCCCTTTAATACCTAGTTTTCTAAGAGTTATAATGAATGGATATTGGATTTTGTCAAGTGCTTTTTCTGCATGTATTAGGATGAGCATTTCATTTTTATTTGTAGTCTATTTCTGCTAATATGCTTAATTACATTGATTTTTTAAAAAAGATTTTCTTATTTTTAAGTAATCTCTACACCCAATGTGGAGCTTGAACTCACAACCCTGAGATCAAGAGTCACATGGTCTACTGACTGAGCCAGCCAGGCACACTGCATTGATTGATTTTTGAATTATAAACCAACCTTGCGTTCCTGAGATAAACCTCACTTGGTCATCATGTATTATACTTTTTTGTATTGTTGGATTTAATTTCCTAAACTTTTGTTGAGAATTTTTACTGTCTGTGAAGGATATTGGGCTATAGTTTTTTTAAAATGTCATTTTCTGGTTTTGGTACCAGGTTAATGTTGACTTCAGTGAATGAGGTGGAAAGTGCTCCATCCTTTTTAATTATCTAGAAGAGTTTTTACAGTATTGGTATTATTTACTCTTTAGACATTTGGTAAAACTCACCACTGAAACCACCTGAGCCTTTAATTTTCTTTGTAGGAATGTTTCCCCTGCTGAAAATTCAATTTCCTTTGTTGATACACGGCTATTCAAATTACCTATTTCTTCTTGAGGGAGCTTTGGCCTTCACTCTCAATAGTGAACTTTTGTGTTTTTTAAGGAATTGGTCCATTTCATCTATCTTGTCAAATTTATTAGCATAAAATTGTTCCGAATGTTCCATTATTATCCTTTAACATCTGTAGGATCTGCGGTGATACCATCTCCATTTTCTGATAGTGGTAGTGTTTATCTTCTTTCTCTTTTTCCCAAAAATGTCTGGCTGGAGGTTTGTCAATTTTATTGACTTTTTTCTTTGAAGAATAGATTTTGGCTGGATCTTGGAAGGCCCAGGTTGGACTAGAAATGATTTCTAGAACATCTTAGGTGTATATCACTTCTTCCATCTAATTTATGCATTAAAGACAGGGGTGAGAAGAAAGGCTGATTCCTGGTGAGAGAGGTATAATAATGTAGAAGGGAGTTTGCACCCTGCGCCTCGTGCCCCTCATGTGCCTTGATGTGTTGCTGGGCAGTCAGTCTGGTTCTCAGCCCTAACTCCCAGGTAGCTTCTGCAGCTTTGCAAAGTGATCAGGGAAGGAACACACTGAAACTACAATGCACTTTTGAAAGAAAGTGAAGAGAACTCAAATAAGTAGAAAAATGTCTTGTGTTCATGGGCCAGATGACTTCATATTATTAAGATGGCAGCACTCTCCAAATTGATCTGCAAATTCAACACAAATCCCTGTCAAAATTCCAGCCGGCTTCCTTGCAGAAATTGCCAAAATCATCCTGAAATTCAGGTGGAATGTAAGAGACCCAGAAGAGGCAAAACAGTCTTGAGAAAGGAGAGCAAAATTGGAGGACTCACACTTTCCAGTTCTGAAACTTACTATAAAGCTACAGTAATGCAGACAGGGTGGCAGTCTTAAGGACAGACGTACAGAGATCAGTGGAGTAGAATTGAGAGTCCAGAAATAAGCCCAAGCATTTATAGGTTTAATATGCAACAAGGACACCAAGACAATTCAATGGAGAGAGAATAGTCTGCAACAAATGGTGCTGGGACAAGTGGACAAACACATCCATGAGAATGAAGTTGGCCCTCACACCACAAACAAAAATTAACTCAAAATGTAGAAAATCTAAAAGAGCTCAAGACATTAACTCAAATGTAAAAAATCTAAAAGAGCTCAAGACATAAAACTGTTAGAGGAAAACACAGAGATAAAACATATGACCTTGGATTTGGCAAGAGATTTTTAGATGTGACACCAAAAGCATGAGCAACAAAAGGAAAAGTATATAGTCTGGGCTTTATCAAAAGTAAAAACTTATGTATTTCAAAGAAATTGAATTCAAGAAAATGAATTCAACCCACAGAGTGGGAGAAAATATTTGTCAAACAGATGATAAGGGACTAGTATCCAGGATATATAAGAACTCTCCACAACTCAACAGTAGAAAGACAAACAATCCAATTAAAAATGGGCAAAGAACTCAAAGGAACATTTCCCCAGAGAAGACATACAAAAGGAGAATAAGCACATGAACAGATGCTCAATATTATATTTATCAATATAAACCACAATGAGACACCACTGCATGCCCACTAGGATGGCTGTCATAAAAATGAGGGACAAACACAGGCATTGGTGAGGATGTGGAGACATTGGAACGCATATATGTTGTTGCCGTGGAAACAGTTTGGCATTGCATCAAAAATTAAACACAGAATTACCATGTGTCCCAGAATTCCACTCCTAGGTATATATCTAAAGCAACTGAGAACACTTGACCACACAAAGTTTTTTATATGAATGTTCATGGTGGCATTATTCATAATAGCCCCCAAGCCTGTCAGCGGACAAAGGCACAACCGGAATGCGGTCCCTGCACAGCGTAGGTAGGAGCTCAGTGCCAACGCGGCTGCAGTGTGGACGGACCTCGGGAACAGCAGTGTGGGGCCAGATGCAGGGCCACGTGCTGCGTGACGGCGCTGGTGGGACATGTCCAGCATAGATGTGTCCCAGGGACAGGACGTACGTTGGTGTTTGCAGGGGCTGTGGGAGAGCGCCGTGTGACTGCTAGTGGGTACGGGGTTTTGTTTTGTTTGGGAATTTGGTTGTGGTGACGACTGTACAACTCTGTGAAAATAGAAAAACATCTGAATCGCATACTTGAAGAGCGTGAATTTTATACTCTGTGATTATGTCTCAGAAAAAATTTTAAGTAAGGTGCAAGGCTGTGTTGGGAGCCACGGCCTGTCCTGAGGCTCCAGCTCCGCTGCCCCGTCTCCCCAGCATTTCACACCAGCATTTCTCCTCCGCCTCAGAAGCCTGCTCTGCCTCAGCTCATATCCTGCTTCCCCCACCCTGTGACCCTTTGGCCTCAGGCCCCCCCCAGCTCCAAGGCCCTCATGGGGTTCTGTGGGGGAGCACGTGGCTCTGGGCCGTGTGGCTCAGGCGGGGCCCTCTGCCTGGGGCACCCACACCCTTGCGGCCCCTCCTGCTCCCCATCCCCACCTGCAGAGCCACGCTCCCTGTTCAGTGCCCGCGGCGCTCAGTGCCCGAGGTGCGTGGCTGAAGGAGCGAAAGCACAGTGCCCCCCGGGCCTATCCTCCGTGGCCATCTGATGGCCCTATGTCAGCGGCCTGCCCTCAAAGGAGCTGGTAAGCCCGTGCTGACGGGCTGTTACGTGCTGGGAGAGGCCACCATTCTCCTGTGGTGTGAGGGACCTGGCAGCTTTCTGGGTCGAGTGGTTAGGTGGACCCAGGCACAGGATGGGGCCAAGGAGGGCAAACACCTGCCCACGGCCACAGGCACAGCTGGTCCTGGAGCCCCGCAGCATTCACGGCACAGACGGCTGTGCAGGGGGTTCTCCAGGGCTGCTGTGGGGTGTCCTGAGTGTTGGGTCACCCAGCCCAAGCATGCACAGCCTGCCCACCGGATGGACCCTGCAGGCTGCACCCAGTCGATGCCCTGGAGGGTTTGCATCATGCTCAGGTTCGGAAAGGCCCCGGGGGCTTTAGGAAAGGCTCTGCAAATGGGGCTGTTACTGTCTCTCGGGATGAAAGAGCAGAATGTGGAGGTAGCAGGAGTCTGGGGCGCCGTCGGAGGGAGGGTCTCCGGTGCGGAGGCTCTGCCTGACTCTGACGCAGGCTCAGCTCACTTTGGATCTCTCAGTGTCAGAAGCACCTGACCGGGTGTTTTCGGAGAGCACATGGTTCCGAAGGGTGCTGGTGCATATACCTGCTGTTTAATGCACAGAGGCTGCCGTGGGGGGGCAGGTTGGGAAGCAGGTTTGGGAGGGGAGGGAGGGTGATTGTATCCGGTAACGTCAGGGAGATCATTAAAAATAGGATCTCCTGCCAACCCAGCAATCCTCTCCGCAAACGTGGGGAAGACTTTTATTATCAAGTGCCCATGAAACCAGCCTGCAATGCCCGGGCTGCCAAGACAGCCAGGCAGCCTGGACCCGTGACCTGGGTTACTTATGCGTTCCCAAGTTAACTGGCACCCCGCCCTCAGGAGGGGAGGGGACACGTCTGGCCCACCGAACATACCTGGTCATAGGGGTGGGGCCTGTGTGATAAGCAGGGGTCACCCTTGACCCAGGTGCCTGGGCAGACTCCCCTGGTGCCGGGCTACAAGACAATCTGGGCTGTAAAAACAAGCTTTTAAAGACATTTCTGCCCATCTCAAAGGGGCAGAGAGAGAGGACTTAGGATCATCAGTTACTCAGGTTGCTCTAAGAGGGAGAAGAGGAGAGGTCTCTCTCCCTTTTGGCAACAGAAAAGTCAAAGTTTTCTTCTCCATTTGTATTTACCCTCACCGTTGGGGGTAGGGGAAGCAACGATGGGGGGGAGGGCCCCAGGGGCGTCACCCCAAACCTGCAGGGGCTGCGTTTAGGTTGGTCCTTTCCCTAAAATGGATCCCGGGGCGCCAGCAGGGGGAAGGCAGGTGGCCCCTGACCGTCCATGTCCTGGGACCCATGGCCCATCTCACTACCTCCACTCCTCACAGAGATCCAGAGCTTCTCCAGCACTGAGAAGGATGGGCGCATAGTCGGGGAGATCGCCTTCCAGCTGGACCGGCGCATCCTGGCCTATGTCTTCCCCGGGGTGACCCGGCTGTACGGTTTCACCGTGTCCAACATCCCTGAGAAGATCAAGCAGGTATGCCTCTATGCCCTGGGGTCCCCTCCCTGCCCCAGATCCCCTCCCTGCTGTGGACCCTGGCATCCCTCCCTGCCCTGGGTCCTCCCACTGCCTCCGGGTCCCCTCCCTTGCCACGGGGCCCCCCTTGCTGCCCTGGGGGAAGGGTCCCCTTGCTGCCCCATCACCCGTGGTGCTCGCACAGCTGAGGACTGTGGAGGCCCACGTGTGACAGAGGGTGATGAGCCCGCTGCCGGGAGCGTCTCTCTTGGCACCCAGCCGCTCTGTGGCCTGGGACAGTCTCGGCCGTGGCTCCCGGGGCCACAGAGCCTTGCGCGATCCGGCCTGTGCGCTAGGGGCGGAGCTCCCTGCTCTGGTCCCGGATACTGTCTGCTGGGGGGCACCCGGGACACTGCGCTCTGCCAGGCTGGGGGCTCGGCTCTGGGCGCGCGTCCCTGTGCCAGCGGCCTCCTCCACGGAAACCTGGTCGCTGTGCCCCCAGACGTCCATCAAGTCTCTGGACGGGTCGGTGGACGAGAAGAAGCTGCGCGAGCTGACGCACCGCTACCTGACGCTCACGGCGCGCCTGGAGAGGCTGGGCTACAACCGGGACGTGCACCCGGTGTTCAGCGAGTTCCTCATCAACACCTACGGCATCCTGAAGCAGCGGCCCGACCTGCGCGCCAACCCGCTGCACAGCAGCCCGGCAGCGCTGCGCAAGCTGGTCATCGACGTGGTGCCCCCCAAGTTCCTGGGCGACTCGCTTCTGCTGCTCACCTGCTTGTGCGAGCTCTCCAAGGAGGACCACAAGCCGCTCTTCGCCTGGTGAGCCTGCCCCGGCGCGCGCCGCGCCTTTCCTGCAATAAACGTGTTTGTTCCAATCCTGGGGGCCGCGTGCCTCCTGCGTGTCCCCTCCGGCCGGGGGAAGAGCCGCGTCCGCCGACGGAGCGCCCAGGGCCGCAGGCGCCGGAGCAGGCGCCTCTCTCGGCCCGGGCCGCGCACCCCAGGCGCCCAGCCCGCCCGCCGCCCACACCGCGCGGCACTGTCGCACTTGATTAAAATAATCTGTTTACCTGTGTACCTTTACCTTTGGCTCTTTGAGGGCATGGAGAACACCGCAGGAGGTGCCCGCCGGTATTTGTGGAATGAAGCCTGGACAGAGCCTCGAGGGGAGGGGCTGGGGCTCGGGCTGGGCTCCCAGACCCTCCAGCCCTCAGACCTCCCCCGGGAGGTCTCGGTCTCCTCCCGTGAAGGGGCCAGCAGCTGGTTTCCCCAAACGCAGAGCCTGAGGCAAGGATTCCGTCTGGGCAGGACAGCTATAGAATCTGCAGAGCCTGGTGCAAAATGAAAACACAGGTCCCTTGTTCAAAAGTAGGAATTTCAAGACAGCCAGGGCAGCAGGTTGGATAGAGAGGGGGGCCCATGCAGCTGTATGGATTCCAGGGAATCTGTTTATTTGGGAGATGATTTGACACACACACAACCCTGCCCCCAGTGGAGCCATCAGGTCGCTATCTCTCCTGAGGTCTTGAGGACAGGTGACCTCCTAGGCCCCCAGTCAGGACCAGGGCCTGGCAAAGGCACCTTCCTAGGCCTTGGCTGTGAGTGGAGGGTCTCTGGTCATTTCTCTGCTGTGGGTGTGAGGATGAAAGTATTGGGGTGTCTGGACCAACTTCAGTTGGGGCAACCTGTCCCTCGGTCCTCACAGCCCCATGTGTCCCAGAGGCCCCAGCACCTTAGGATACTCTTTCATCAGCTTGAGCAGCCAGAACGTGCACCACAGAACAGGGTGGTTCAGAGGACATGCTGGAGGCTAGACATCGCAGGTCAAGGCGTTCACAGGGCTGGTTCCTCCTGAGGCCTCTCTCCTGGGCGTGTGGATGCTGCCTTCTCCCTGTGTCCTCACATGCTTGTCCCTGTGCATGTCTGTGTCCTGCTTTCCTCTCACTATAAGGACACCAGTCAGAGGAGATTAGGGTCACCCTACAACAGACATAATTTTAACTTTATTACCTTTTTTTTTCAAAATAGATACTTTTATTTTAAAAGGCTTTAAAATTCATTGTTAATGACTGTTAATTATTTTTTAAATTTTATTTTATTATGTTATGTTAGTCACCATACAATACATCATTGGTTTTTGATGTGGTGATCCATGATTCATTGTTTGCATATAACACCCAGTGCTCCATGCAGAACGTGCCCTCTTTAATACCCATCACCAGGCTAACCCATCCCCCCACCCCCTCCCCTCTAGAACCCTCGGTTTGTTTCTCAGAGTCCATAGTCTCTCAGGGTTCGAAGATAGTAGGAAGGGAAAAATGAAGGGGGGGGGAAGTGGAGGGGGAGACAAACTTTATTACCTTTTTAAAGACCCTGTCTCCAAATATAGCTGCATTCTGAGGTGCTGGGGGTCAGCGCTTCCACATATGATTTTGGGGGTGGGCACCATTCAGTCCATAACTGACTCCATCCTCCCCTTCCAACCACTGGACACCAACCCCCAGCGGGGGGACTCTGCCACCCTGGGGGCCTGTGGAGGGCGCACAAATTTGGCGCTGGGGCTGCTTGTTGGAGGAAGGACTGGTGGGCACTCCTGGGCACCGCCGGGATGCAGGCTCTCTTGGGTGAGCCTCGGTGTTAGGACCCAGGTTTGGAAGAATGCTTTTGTTGGGCCTCTGCTCTCTTCCAGGTCCTGCGAGGCTCCCCAGCCCCCCTGTGGGACCTAGAAGTGGAATAGCTGTCCTCACATTCTCCCAGGGGAGCCGGCTGGAGAGGACCTGGCTGCCCCCAGCCTCCAAGGGTCTCTGGGCTTGTCTGGCTGCTCCAGGGGTGGCTGCTGGAGGGCTGGGGCCCCAGGGCCCGTGCAGCCGGGGGTCTCCTCACCTGCGCCCTGTGGCCGCCCCTGCATTGCCATGGCTGTGAGGGCGCCCGGGCCGGGAGGATGACAGGCGGGGTCTGCTCTGCCTCTGGGAGGGCCCTGCGGGGTTTTCAAAGTGTCCGAGAGGCGGGGCAGTTGAACCTCAGGTCCGAGGCGTCCGTGCGCTGCTGGGGTATAGCCACGTGAAGGAAGCTCTGCAGACTGGAAGTGCCGCCCCCTTCAAGACAGTGTTGACCCGCTGGCTCTCTGGGTGCAGGGCCCTGGGCTGCTGGCCTGGGCACGTCAGTCCTTTGTGAGGAGCCACCGACCTCAGGGAAGAGCAACTGGGAGAGCTGGGCTTCATCGTGACCACTTGCCCTGCAGGCCCATCCACGTACAGCACAGACTTGACCCCTCCCCCCACTCTCCTGCCTGACCAGGCCGAGCTGACCTCTGCCGAGGGCCAGGTCCACCAATGGGGCTTCACACACGACCTCTCTTGTCTTCCTGCTACCTCAAGCTCCGAAGCTGACATGAAGAAATTTAGCGGGTCACATGGAGGGGCACATGGAGGGTCCCTGGAGGGTCACACGGAGGGTCACTGGAGAGTCACTTGGAGCGTCACTGGAGGGGCACTTGGAGGGTCACAGGAACAACCACCAGGAGTCCCTGGGCCAAGCTGGGATTGGAGCCTGGGCTGACCCGAGTCCACCCCCCCAGGGAGGACTTTTACCCCCTGAGGGCCCTGGTCACATGTGCTGTTAGGGGAGCCGGCCGGCCCCCAGCTGGGTAGGGGATCCCTCCTCCTCCATTGTCTGGCTCACAGGGTCTGGCCCCCTTCCTGTTCTGCTCCGTGTTTGCACAGGGACCACAGCCTGTCCCTCCTTGCCATGACTGGTGGTTAATCAGCAGCCCGGCCACCATGGGAGGGCCCTGGTGGGTGGATAAAGGCCCCACCAGGCACCGGAGGGCAGTGTCCCTCCTCCCCTGCATCCACCCTGTGAGAGGAGCGCCAGGATCAAGGCCCAGATCATGTCCCAGCTGGTGGAATGCGTTCCCAACTTCTCAGAGGGGAACAACCAGGAGGTGAGGTGCAGGGGGCTAGGCAAGGGGCTCGGGGCAAGGAGAAAGGGGTGTACTTGGTGTGGGGTTGGGGAGTATCTTCTCTGAAATGGAACCACTTCCTGTCGTCAGCCCACAGGGAGGTGCCCCATGAGCGCAGGGACTCAGAGCGGCTGAGCAGGGGAGAGGAAGAGGCTGTGGGCTGGGCAGTCAGGCAGGGGTCCTGGCCCTGGGGCTGGGCCACAGGGCTGGTGGAAGGTCCCCAAACCTTATCAGGTGGGCTCCCCATGTTACCGATGAGGAAAATGAGGCATAGGGAGTGGGTGCAGGCCACTGAGGGCCATGGAGCCCCTGCTGCCTCAGAAGGTTCTGGGCCCTTCATACCCCTCCCCTAGTGCAGATGGTCCCACTAGGGACCGCTTGGGGGGCCAGGGCCCTGACCCTCTGTGCCCTTGGCCTATAGGTCACCTTCTTGGAGCCCCAGCAGTCCCTCCACCAGGGTTCTGATTCCTGCCTCACTTTCTCCTGGAGGGTGCTGCCTGTTTCCCTTTTCTTGGCGATCAGTGATGGTCCTCCTTGGGCTTGTGCTTTTTGAGGAATTCCCAAATGCTCAGCACCAGCTCCTTAGGCCCATGTTTGGGTGGTGGTTGGGGGCAGCAGGAGAGGCATGGCCACCTCTGAAGCTCCTGTTCCTTCTTCTAAGTGGGGAAACTGAGGCACAGGGTTGGGCTTTTGTCCCCAGGTGATTGACGCCATCTCTCGCGCCGTGGCGCAGACCCCGGGCTGTGTGCTGCTGGACGTGGACGCTGGCCCCTCCACCAACCGCACCGTCTACACGTTCGTAGGGCAGCCCAAGGACGTGGTGGAGGGGGCCCTCAATGCCGCCCGGGTTGCCTTCCAGCTCATTGATATGAGGCAGCACAAAGGTGAGGGGTCCTCCCCCACAGGGTATGGGGGCTGCCTGGCCTGCAAGCTTGCCCTGGGAGGACCCCAGAGCCCCCCGAAGGGTCTCAGGCGCAGCCCACAGAGGCTGCTGTGCCAGGCTAAGGTCCGTGGAGACCCCTCTGTGTTTCAGGGGTTCCCAGGAGTGACTGGCAGTGAGGCTCAGGCATCCTGTGCAGGCCTGGGGCGCTTGGGGGGGCAGGGAGTAAAGACGCGGAAACCGGCCTGGCAGTAGCCCTCAAAACCAAACACATCTGCTGTGGCAGGCAGGGTCAAAGGTTGGTGGACACGCCGGGGGCAGGTCAAAAGGGCAGGGGCTCTGGCCACTCACAGCGGGGCGGGGGGGGGTCAGGCCCATGTGATTCCAGCTGGTAGAGAGTTAGCAAGCCAGTCTCAAAGCCAGAGCTCCCAGGGGGAGCGGAGTGGTCAGGGTTTGAGAAGGACGCTCGGTAAGCTGCGGGGGCAGGGAGGGTTGGGTGGTGGGAGCCGGTCAGGACTCCGGCCGCTCAGCTCGGCAGGCAGTGTTGGGCAGTGAGCTCTGTGGCTTAGGAGACGGAGAGGCTTACTGAGGCCAAAATACTTGGCCTGCTGCTTCTCCCGGGATCCCTGTGGTCAGCGGGACCAGCGGCGTGTGTGGATGGACGGCAGGGTGGGGGCAGGGAGGGCGGGATCCACGAGCCCGCTGAGCCCACGCCCACGCCTGGGCCCCCCTGGCCTCCCCTTCGTCAGCCCCCTCTCTGTGCAGGGGAGCACCCTCGGATGGGCGCCCTGGACGTGTGCCCCTTCATCCCTGTGAGGGGCGTCAGCATGGATGAGTGCGTGCTCTGTGCCCAGGCCTTCGGTCAGCGGCTGGCCGAGGGGCTGGGTGTGCCAGGTGAGTGCCCCGAAAGGGACACTGCAGGGCAGGGGCTCCCCCTCACTGCACCGCGGCGCCCTCAGGTTCTCTGCAGATAGAAGCCGGGTGCGGTGTGCGCAGTGCGTGGCCTGGCCGTTGAGAAGCACTGGATGCCGCTTAGCTGCTCCGAAAAGTCAAGTCCATGCTTCCTAAT